GTAGGACGTAGGTGCACGGACCAGTACCCCAACCCCGCTGGCGTGCAGCGTACCACTCACGGAGCTGCTGAGGGGGGGGGATGTCCCGAGTGCGCTGCTGCTGCTGCTGCTGCTGCTGCTGGCGCTGACCACCACCGGAGCCAACCCTCTGCGCAGTGCCACCCCGACCAGCTCCACCTCCCCCGCCGCCGCCTCCTCCACCGCCGCCACCTCCGCCACCTCCGCTCCCACCGCCACCGCCGCCTCCGCCTCCGCCTCCACTGCCGCCACCGACACCTCCACCCCCGCCACCACCCCCACCGCCACCCCCACCCCCTCCGCCGCCTCCACCGCTGCCTCTACCGCCCCCGCTAGCTCCTCCAGCGCCCCTGCCCCCCTTGCCCTTGCCAGGGCGGCGCTTCCCGCTAGGGGTAGACGCCGCACCGACCGACTCAAGACCAACGAGGTCGGCCGCAGCAGCAGAGGCAACAGAGGGCAAGAGAGGAGAGGGGGAGCACCCCTCAAAGACAGGGGAGCGCGGGTCACCACGAGAGGCTCCTACAGCGACTATGCTCTTCTCTGCTGCTAGGAGGCGCTCCTCGAGGAGGTCAACGGTGAGGGTGGTGGGGCAAACAGAGAGAAAGTGGTCCCTGACCGGGCGAAGGGTGTCAGGGAGGCGGGTGACTATGTAGTAGAGGGTGATGTACATAGGGGGGGGGGTTCTTGGCGCAGAACTCAGCGGGAAGGGCAGCGCGGTAGCGAATGTCACTAGTGCAAAGGTGTGTAATGAGGTCAGCAACTGTGGGAAAAGCTGCGAGGTCAGGGAAGAGGTACGGCAGGATGAGGCGGCTAAGTGCAGCAGTGGCAGGGGAAGAGTAGCGTGCAACTACAGCGTCGTACAAGGTCTTAGCACTCTTGTACTGGCTAAAGTGCGCATGCTCAGAGGTAGGCAAGTGGCGACGCACAGCAAGACGTGCAGCAGCATCGCGTGTGGCCCACTGTGAGCAAACAGTGGCGTCAGCATCAGCAGCGGGGGCAGGAGAGGCACCAGAAGTGAGGTCAAAGAGGGAGAGACCGGCTGCTGCTCACAGGACGGCGGCGGCCGCTGCTGCAGCGGCGGCGGCAGTTGCTGCTGCAGGGGCGGCGGCGGCCGCTCCTGCAGGGACGGCGGCGGCCGCGGTTGCAGTGGCGGCGGGTGCTGCTGCTGGGGCGGCGGATGCTGCTGCTGCTGGGACGGCGACCGCGGCCGCTGTAGCGACTGCAGCTGCTGCTGCTGTAGAGGCGGCGACGGCGGGCCGAGAGAGGCCGCAAAGGGCGGCGGACGGGCCGTGAAGGGCAGCACGAGGGGCCGCGGAGGGCGGCGACCGGCCGTGAAGGGGGGGGGCCGCGAGTGGCCGCGGAGGGCGGCGACGGGCCGTGAAGGGCGGCGCGAGGGGCCGCGGAGGGCGGCGACCGGCCGTGAAGGGGCCGCGGGTGGCCGCGGAGGGCGGCGACGGGCCGTGAAGGGCGGCTCGAGGGGCCGCGAAGGGCGGCGACGGGCCGTAGGGGGCCGTAAGGGCGGCGCGAGGGGCCGGAAGGGCGGCGCGAGGGGCCGTAAGGGCGGCACGAGAGGCCGTAAGGGCGGCTGGAAGGGCCGTCAGAGGAGCCGCTAAGGGCGACGCGAAGGGGCCGTAAGGGGCCTAGAGAGGGCGCGACGGTAGGGAGGGCACGCGGGGCGCGACTCGGGCAGGAGCGAAGCGCGCTCCGGGCAGGAAAAAAAAAAATTCGATTGGTGGGCCCTAGGAAGCGTTCCCACGAGGGAACCCGCTCTATACCATGTGAGAATGTCGAGGAATGAGATTGACCAAGGGAAAGTTGGGTACAAGTACAAACCCTAGAAAACTGTACCCCATATGTGCTACCCCACTACAGCCTACAGCAGCTATGTCATATAAATCTGACACTATGATGCCGAACCCGGACAACCTGACACCAGGTGTGCAAGCTGCTTGGACGCGCGCAATAGGCACAATAGAAAGGGCAAACATCAGCGCTAAAAGGTGCAGAGCGCCACCGCCGCCCCGTAACGTTCCAGTCAGGAGATTACGTGGTCCTCAACACTCAGAATATTCCTGCCCGTCGTATCGAATCTTCGCCTGCTATACTATGGCTCGTTCCAGATTAGCCACATGATCACACCCATCACCGCCCATCTCCTGCTACTCGCTGACTGGTACATCAGCCCATCGTTCCACGTCAACCTACTTCGCCCATACATCCCAACCACATGCAGCGCTATCGCTCACCCTCGATTACACCTTCAGCATCGGAGCCGATCGTCGACCCCGAGAAAATTATGAGACATCGGTTTCGTCACCCCACAGGAGTTCGGATGATTGAATTCCTCGTTCGGTGGAAGGGCCGCACCACCATGGAAGTTAGCTGGGGATTCTGCGATGTACACGCACTCGCTTAGCAGACGGGCTTCTTGGGGAGGACGGTAATGTAAGGATTTTTTTTCGGCATTCCTTACGGCGAACTTCAACATCGCGTATGGGGCAGGGTTGACGTTTCAAATTTAGGTACCCTGAGTTCAACCTATTTTTTTTTTTTTTTACCCTGAAGGCACATTTTCCAGAAAAACAGCACCCTGATTGCTCAGGGTTGAGAAGTAGTGAGCTCTGAATGTTCAGGGTCGAGAATTGAAAATCAGGGTCGTAGTAACGCGCTCTTTCTTTACCAGGGAAAGAAGTCTCACTCTGCATAATCGCAACATCTGCTCGAAATCAGAGAGTCTACGGGGATTTCAGGCAGAGTCTGCCTTGACCTAGCGAATCGAATCTGTGTCAGAGCACAATTATTTCGACCAATAACAGCAAACTAAATCTGACATTACAGATTCGCCCGATCTCGATGGTGGGTGTATGGGAAAGAAAAATCGACGAAACTTCGTCCCGATAAAGCGAGGGGTGGGGGGTGGGGAGGGGGATTACGCACGTGGGGGGTACACTGCGATCAATCCGAAGGCGGGGTTATCAGGAGGAAATTTCCGAGAAACTTCGTCCCGATAACATCGCATTCAGGGTCCACATGCCGCGTACTCTGTATTGACAGGGTCCGTGAAAACACTACACTGAGAGTGTACACAAAAATTCAGGGTCCGCTAAAGCAATACTCTGAATGGATCAGGGACCAAAATGTGAAAAACCTGATTTCTCAGGGACCAGAAAGTGACAAGTCTGAAATCACCCTGAAATCAGGGTAATTACCCTGATAAAATCAGCCCTGGTATGGGGCCGACCGTTTCTTCGCCCGTTACTGCCAATGGTGTTTCGCCGCCTTCGCGCGCCTCCCCACATTGTCCAAACCACGCATCGTTGGCCTGGCTCGAGTCGGCCTACGCTTCGGGGCTAGCCCAAACCTCGTTGCCATCATCGCCCTAGCTAGCTCGCACGCACCACGTCACCGTTTGCTTGTTTTCTCTATAGACGTTTTCGCTCATGCCTTTGCTCACTTTAGTGCAATACTTGCTACTTGTAACACGTAGTCACCAACATAGAATACCGATACGTGTGTTCAGAAATTCCATATACCATTACCAGTGACAATGAGGAAAGGGAAGGGTCTGCCTGGTGACAAAGTAGTTTCCAGAACGGCGAGTACAAAATAATTGCCATTTGTCCCTGAACTAAGTACGGTATGACACCAGGAATAATAACATAATCACGCAAATCCAGTCAAGCATGCAGTGCTATTGCATGGGGCAAATGGAAATGTGTTTGGTGCTATCATGGCTTCAGTGGTGAGAACGAAGGGCTTATGGTAGGGTTCATGCTTGAAATCAACTTCAATAAACAATGCTCGATAGCCCACCTGCGCACAGGAGCACGAGGGAGAGAACAGACAAACAATGGCGAAACAAGGTTACCGGTATGAACGTTGTGAAAAGATGGTTGAACACATATAAGAAACATCCAATTGGTGTGGTACTGATAATGGAAAGTGTGCCTTGGACTGGGGAGACATTTGAAATGGTAAACAGCAAAGTACCGTATAGCATCAAGTGTTGGTAACTTAAGGGAACCAACTGGAAAGGCCACTAAAGCTGGAAAGGCCACTACAGCTGGGAAAGCCACTACGACTGGGAAAGCCACTACGACTGGGAAAGCCACTACAGCTGGGAAAGCCACTACAGCTGGGAAAGCCACTACAGCTGGGAAAGCCACTACAGCTGGGAAAGCCACTACAGCTGGGAAAGCCACTACAGCTGGGAAAGCCACTACGACTGGGAAAGCCACTACGACTGGGAAAGCCACTACAGCTGGGAAAGACACTACAGCTGGGAAAGACACTACAGCTGGGAAAGACACTACAGCTGGGAAAGACACTACAGCTGGGAAAGACACTACAGCTGGGAAAGACACTACAGCTGGGAAAGACACTACAGCTGGGAAAGCCAGCGAAAGTACAGCGCAGTCAGTGCCGAAGCACAACATCACATGCTGCTCCTCCTTTATAGGAACATTCCTTGTCCAATCACAGTTGACTCAAAAGAACTTCTCCATAAGAGGAATACCACATCTCAGTACTCGTTTGAACTTAGCTACACTTCATTTAACATATCTACAAACAATTCAACAATGTTACACTTCAGAACACTTCATTATTACAATTCACCACATTCAATTCAAACACGCTTCATCCCACACACGCACCTTGGGAATGACTTTGACGGACGAGCTGAAGTGCCAGAGCCCGTCAGGCTGCAGTGCGGGCGGCGAGACGGCGTGCAGGAGGAACGGGATGGGCTGCACACAGAGGGTGCCGAACTTGGCAATGTAGACATCCGAGCTCTTGAAGGGCACCATGCTGCCGAGGACAAGGGCGGCGGGGTGGAGGGAAAGCCAGGAGAATAATATATAGTGGAGATAAAGGGAGAGGTAAGGGTAGGGGAAGGAACCATTATCTCACTCAGTAGTGAACACTCACAGACAGGTTAGTTACCAAGTGCAACAGCACATGCACATGAACAGCTAGCAGAGTCACAACACTGAGGGCCCTGCACTCACCACCCAGTGAGCCCCTGCACTCACCACCCTACCACCTCCCCTCCCTGCACTCACCACCCTACCACCTCCCCTCCCTGCACTCACCACCCTACCACCTCCCCTCCCTGCACTCACCACCCTACCACCTCCCCTCCCTGCACTCACCACCCAACCACATTCCCTTCCCTGCACCGCACTCACCACCCGGCGAGCCCTTGCTTCACGATGAGCCGGAAGTCCCGCCGCTTGCTGCCCGGCCTCGTGCGCCCCGTCCTGCATCCGGGGAGAGGGGGCATGGAAAGGCGGTGGTGGGGTGAATCGCGTGGGGAGGGGAAGAGGAAGGGGGGAAGGAATGAAGGAATGATTTGGCGTGACTCACAGCAATGCGAGAGCCAGCTAGGGGGTTGGGAGCACGAGTTGCAGTGCAGAGGCGGTTCGTTACATCACTCTCATCAAGCCATCAGCCCCTTGTTTGTTCCACAGCCCATCACTCCTTCCTCTATGAAGCCCATTCCTTTACTGCGTGCCTGAAGCACTGGCGAGCAGACTAGAGAGGGGCGGGGCCTGTGGAACCATTGACGTGCCTTACAGTCGAACCAGCATCCCAATCTTTCCCCAACCTGCAGGGAAGTGCTTAGGAGATTCCAGAAACGTCGCTTCGAAACACGTTCAGTCAACTTCCCTTGAGCTCTGACAGCCCTGCACCTTCCATTGCTACCACACCTTCCATTGCTACCACACCTTCTTCGCACCCCTCCACGTATCCATTCCCCCCCTATCCCCCCTCCCCATCCCCATCCTCCATCACACTACCCATCCCCCTCCCCCTCCCCCTCACCATGCTCTAACCGCCAACGGCTTCCTGTCTGACGTGGCATGGATGGTGAACGTGGGCCAATCAAACCGCCACCTCAGCTGAGGCCAGTCGACAGCTGGCATCTCTGGTACACAGGCCCAAGGGGGGGACTGCACAGCTGCCAATGCTGCCCCTACTGCCGCCCCCACTGGTGCTGCCTCTGCGTCTGGGAGACTGGAAGGCTGAGGGCTGTGGGGGTTGTGAGGGGTGTGAGAGGAAGGGGAGTCTGACGAGGTCGAGGTGGTGTGGGGAATGAGGGAGGAGGGGGTGGGCGTGGAGGGGCGGGTCCAGGTGAGGGAGGGGCGGGAGGAGGCGGGGCGAGAGGCGCAGGAGGAGTTGACGTGCAGGAGAGAGGCGAGGAAGGAGCCGGTCGCATCGTAGACCTGAAAGGTTGGGTGGTAGGAGACAGGGAAATCAGGGAAGGGGTTGGGGGTGTCAACGGGGAGGGGGTGTCAATGGGGAGGGGGTGTCAATGGGGAGGGGGTGTCAATGGGGAGGGGGTGTAGAAGGCAAGGGGATAAGCGAGGGGGTTGGGGTGGGAGGAGACAGGAGAATAGGGGTGAGAAGAAAAAGGAGACGGAAGCACCCTAAGTCTGCAGTATGGACAAAAGGACAAAAGGAGGAAACAGGGACGGCCCCATTAGAAGCAGAAACAGAGGTGGATGAAGGTGAGAAGAGGAAGGAGTGAGAGTGATGACAGGAAGAGGGTGAGGCAGAAGGGAATGCAGAAGGGCAGTGAGGGTGAGACGAAAGGGCGGCAAGGGTGAGACGGAGTTAGCGGCGATTAGACATGAGCAAAAATTCGAACCCCTGTTCGGTTCGACTCAAAAGCGTTTGACTCGAACGTGTTCGAATGGTTTTTTTGCCCAAAATGGTTTGTGACGAACACCACGTTCGACTGTTCAAGTGTTCGTGTGCAGAAAAATGCACGAACACCTAGGTGTTCGCGAACTCCAAGGCAAACTGTTCGAGTTCGGGTCAAACACCTTAGTGTTCGGCCTTGCCTCAAAACTGTTCGACCCTATACTCGAACGGGGAACACTAACATTTACGAAAACTGTTCGAGTCAAACGTGTTCGGTTCGGTTCGAATTGACCAAGTGTTCGCAAGCTGTTCGAGACAAACGTGTTCGGTTCGCTCGTTGCTCATGTCAAGCGGCGATGATGGGCGGGGATTGGAGAAAAAGTAGCACGAATGAAGGCGAGAAGGGCGTTGGAGTAACTGGGGAGGGAGAGGAACTGGGAGAGCGGAGAGGAGAACGGAGGACCGCTCCCACTGCAACACCTGAACGAGTGGTCTGAGAAGTTCAACTCTCGAGTTCTATTGCTGTGAGAGAGGAGAGCATTGAAGGGTAAGGCTGTAGCCAGTGGGAGAGAAGAAGGATGGAGGGCAAGGCGAGGCGGTACGTACCCAGTAGGACTTCTGGATGACCATGTGGTCCAGGTTGGCCACGATCTTGAACAGCGTGGGCGGTGGTCGTTGAAATACAAGTACCTGCCAGGGCCGGGCGCATTCACGAGGGGATCGGGAAGGCATATATACATGTGTGTTCATACTTACAGTCATCTTCAGCGAAGAGTACTCGTATTGGCGAGAGGATGCAAGGAGTCCGACGCTTTGGAACACACATGTGTTGAAACACTAAGAAACAAAGCAGCAAACAGCTGCTACCATTTAGCCTGGGGACGTGCACAAGTGCCGTGACATTGGGCACTCACGAGTCATCCATGGGGCAGCAAGCAGCGACTCACGAGTCATCCATGGGGCAGCAAGCAGCGACTCACGAGTCATCCATGGGGCAGCAAGCAGCGACTCACGAGGCATCCATGGGGCAGCAAGCAGCGACTCACGAGTCATCCATGGGGCAGCAAGCAGCGACTCACGAGGCATCCATGGGGCAGCAAGCAGCGACTCACGAGTCATCCATGGGGCAGCAAGCAGCGACTCACGAGTCATCCATGGGGCAGCAAGCAGCGACTCACGAGTCATCCATGGGGCAGCAAGCAGCGACTCACGAGGCATCCATGGGGCTGCAAGCAGCGACTCACGAGTCATCCATGGGGCAGCAAGCAGCGACTCACGAGTCATCCATGGGGCAGCAAGCAGCGACTCACGAGTCATCCATGGGGCAGCAAGCAGCGACTCACGAGGCATCCATGGGGCAGCAAGCAGCGACTCACGAGTCATCCATGGGGCAGCAAGCAGCGACTCACGAGTCATCCATGGGGCAGCAAGCAGCGACTCACGAGGCATCCATGGGGCAGCAAGCAGCGACTCACGAGTCATCCATGGGGCAGCAAGCAGCGACTCACGAGTCATCCATGGGGCAGCAAGCAGCGACTCACGAGTCATCCATGGGGCAGCAAGCAGCGACTCACGAGGCATCCATGGGGCAGCAAGCAGCGACTCACGAGTCATCCATGGGGCAGCAAGCAGCGACTCACGAGTCATCCATGGGGCAGCAAGCAGCGACTCACGAGTCATCCATGGGGCAGCAAGCAGCGACTCACGAGGCATCCATGGGGCAGCAAGCAGCGACTCACGAGTCATCCATGGGGCAGCAAGCAGCGACTCACGAGTCATCCATGGGGCAGCAAGCAGCGACTCACGAGTCATCCATGGGGCAGCAAGCAGCGACTCACGAGTCATCCATGGGGCAGCAAGCAGCGACTCACGAGTCATCCATGGGGCAGCAAGCAGCGACTCACGAGTCATCCATGGGGCAGCAAGCAGCGACTCATGAGGCATCCATGGGGCAGCAAGCAGCGACTCACGAGTCATCCATGGGGCAGCAAGCAGCGACTCACGAGGCATCCATGGGGCAGCAAGCAGCGACTCACGAGTCATCCATGGGGCAGCAAGCAGCGACTCACGAGTCATCCATGGGGCAGCAAGCAGCGACTCACGAGTCATCCATGGGGCAGCAAGCAGCGACTCACGAGTCATCCATGGGGCAGCAAGCAGCGACTCACGAGGCATCCATGGGGCAGCAAGCAGCGACTCACGAGTCATCCATGGGGCAGCAAGCAGCGACTCACGAGTCATCCATGGGGCAGCAAGCAGCGACTCACGAGTCATCCATGGGGCAGCAAGCAGCGACTCACGAGTCATCCATGGGGCAGCAAGCGGCGACTCACGAGTCATCCATGGGGCAGCAAGCAGCGACTCACGAGGCATCCATGGGGCAGCAAGCAGCGACTCACGAGTCATCCATGGGGCAGCAAGCAGCGACTCACGAGTCATCCATGGGGCAGCAAGCGGCGACTCACGAGTCATCCATGGGGCAGCAAGCAGCGACTCACGAGTCATCCATGGGGCAGCAAGCAGCGACTCACGAGTCATCCATGGGGCAGCAAGCAGCGACTCACGAGTCATCCATGGGGCAGCAAGCAGCGACTCACGAGTCATCCATGGGGCAGCAAGCAGCGACTCACGAGTCATCCATGGGGCAGCAAGCAGCGACTCACGAGGCATCCATGGGGCAGCAAGCAGCGACTCACGAGTCATCCATGGGGCAGCAAGCAGCGACTCACGAGGCATCCATGGGGCAGCAAGCAGCGACTCACGAGTCATCCATGGGGCAGCAAGCAGCGACTCACGAGTCATCCATGGGGCAGCAAGCAGCGACTCACGAGTCATCCATGGGGCAGCAAGCAGCGACTCACGAGTCATCCATGGGGCAGCAAGCAGCGACTCACGAGTCATCCATGGGGCAGCAAGCAGCGACTCACGAGTCATCCATGGGGCAGCAAGCAGCGACTCACGAGGCATCCATGGGGCAGCAAGCAGCGACTCACGAGTCATCCATGGGGCAGCAAGCAGCGACTCACGAGGCATCCATGGGGCAGCAAGCAGCGACTCACGAGTCATCCATGGGGCAGCAAGCAGCGACTCACGAGTCATCCATGGGGCAGCAAGCAGCGACTCACGAGTCATCCATGGGGCAGCAAGCAGCGACTCACGAGGCATCCATGGGGCAGCAAGCAGCGACTCACGAGTCATCCATGGGGCAGCAAGCAGCGACTCACGAGTCATCCATGGGGCAGCAAGCAGCGACTCACGAGGCATCCATGGGGCAGCAAGCAGCGACTCACGAGTCATCCATGGGGCAGCAAGCAGCGACTCACGAGTCATCCATGGGGCAGCAAGCAGCGACTCACGAGTCATCCATGGGGCAGCAAGCAGCGACTCACGAGGCATCCATGGGGCAGCAAGCAGCGACTCACGAGTCATCCATGGGGCAGCAAGCAGCGACTCACGAGTCATCCATGGGGCAGCAAGCAGCGACTCACGAGTCATCCATGGGGCAGCAAGCAGCGACTCACGAGGCATCCATGGGGCAGCAAGCAGCGACTCACGAGTCATCCATGGGGCAGCAAGCAGCGACTCACGAGGCATCCATGGGGCAGCAAGCAGCGACTCACGAGTCATCCATGGGGCAGCAAGCAGCGACTCACGAGTCATCCATGGGGCAGCAAGCAGCGACTCACGAGTCATCCATGGGGCAGCAAGCAGCGACTCACGAGGCATCCATGGGGCAGCAAGCAGCGACTCACGAGTCATCCATGGGGCAGCAAGCAGCGACTCACGAGTCATCCATGGGGCAGCAAGCAGCGACTCACGAGTCATCCATGGGGCAGCAAGCAGCGACTCACGAGTCATCCATGGGGCAGCAAGCAGCGACTCACGAGTCATCCATGGGGCAGCAAGCAGCGACTCACGAGGCATCCATGGGGCAGCAAGCAGCGACTCACGAGTCATCCATGGGGCAGCAAGCAGCGACTCACGAGTCATCCATGGGGCAGCAAGCGGCGACTCACGAGTCATCCATGGGGCAGCAAGCAGCGACTCACGAGTCATCCATGGGGCAGCAAGCAGCGACTCACGAGTCATCCATGGGGCAGCAAGCAGCGACTCACGAGTCATCCATGGGGCAGCAAGCAGCGACTCACGAGTCATCCATGGGGCAGCAAGCAGCGACTCACGAGTCATCCATGGGGCAGCAAGCAGCGACTCACGAGGCATCCATGGGGCAGCAAGCAGCGACTCACGAGTCATCCATGGGGCAGCAAGCAGCGACTCACGAGGCATCCATGGGGCAGCAAGCAGCGACTCACGAGTCATCCATGGGGCAGCAAGCAGCGACTCACGAGTCATCCATGGGGCAGCAAGCAGCGACTCACGAGTCATCCATGGGGCAGCAAGCAGCGACTCATGAGGCATCCATGGGGCAGCAAGCAGCGACTCACGAGGCATCCATGGGGCAGCAAGCAGCGACTCACGAGTCATCCATGGGGCAGCAAGCAGCGACTCACGAGTCATCCATGGGGCAGCAAGCAGCGACTCACGAGTCATCCATGGGGCAGCAAGCAGCGACTCACGAGTCATCCATGGGGCAGCAAGCAGCGACTCACGAGTCATCCATGGGGCAGCAAGCAGCGACTCACGAGTCATCCATGGGGCAGCAAGCAGCGACTCACGAGGCATCCATGGGGCAGCAAGCAGCGACTCACGAGTCATCCATGGGGCAGCAAGCAGCGACTCACGAGGCATCCATGGGGCAGCAAGCAGCGACTCACGAGTCATCCATGGGGCAGCAAGCAGCGACTCACGAGTCATCCATGGGGCAGCAAGCAGCGACTCACGAGTCATCCATGGGGCAGCAAGCAGCGACTCACGAGTCATCCATGGGGCAGCAAGCAGAAACTCACGAGGAATCCATGGGGCAGCAAGCAGCGACTCACGAGTCATCCATGGGGCAGCAAGCAGCGACTCACGAGTCATCCATGGGGCAGCAAGCAGCGACTCACGAGTCATCCATGGGGCAGCAAGCAGCGACTCACGAGGCATCCATGGGGCAGCAAGCAGCGACTCACGAGTCATCCATGGGGCAGCAAGCAGCGACTCACGAGTCATCCATGGGGCAGCAAGCAGCGACTCACGAGTCATCCATGGGGCAGCAAGCAGCGACTCACGAGGCATCCATGGGGCAGCAAGCAGCGACTCACGAGTCATCCATGGGGCAGCAAGCAGCGACTCACGAGTCATCCATGGGGCAGCAAGCAGCGACTCACGAGTCATCCATGGGGCAGCAAGCAGCGACTCACGAGTCATCCATGGGGCAGCAAGCAGCGACTCACGAGTCATCCATGGGGCAGCAAGCAGCGACTCACGAGTCATCCATGGGGCAGCAAGCAGCGACTCACGAGGCATCCATGGGGCAGCAAGCAGCGACTCACGAGTCATCCATGGGGCAGCAAGCAGCGACTCACGAGGCATCCATGGGGCAGCAAGCAGCGACTCACGAGTCATCCATGGGGCAGCAAGCAGCGACTCACGAGTCATCCATGGGGCAGCAAGCAGCGACTCACGAGTCATCCATGGGGCAGCAAGCAGCGACTCACGAGTCATCCATGGGGCAGCAAGCAGCGACTCACGAGGCATCCATGGGGCAGCAAGCAGCGACTCACGAGTCATCCATGGGGCAGCAAGCA